ACTAGAGGTCAGGAGTTCAAGACAAGCCTGCGCAAGAAGGAGACCCACAGTTTCTATCTTTTGTATGGAAAGGACTCTGAAAGAAGAGACATAAATCATAGTGGAAAAACGGGACTGAATCAAGACACTTCTCCTGGGCTTCCTTGTGAAACACTCTGGAGAAAGAAGCAGATCAACTTTGCAGCTTCCTGTCGTGCTTCTGAGTGGTTCCATGGTTCAAGCTCAGCTGGTGATAGACTGGTCTGTTACTTCAATTGTTTGCTATAGAAAAAGTTCCTATTTACAATGCCATGCCCATGAATATGGCAGTATCTGTATCCATCTTCCTGATCCGAACACATACCATCCCAGGCATCTTATCCTCTTCCCCGTAGTCATTACCTCTGACCTACATTCCTTTGGGGATAGGGTGCCCCAGCACATCCCATCATGAATACTTTTTTGTCTTTCCAGAGCATGCCAGTACAATATCTGGAACATGGGCCCCAGCCTGAGCTTAGGTCCAAGGGTTGACAATTAGACTTAGCCAGGGCGGAGAAACAGCCCTTTTTCTGCTGGATCCCCAGCCCGGATGACAAATTTTGCTTTGAAAGACAAGCTCTGCTGTCTTTTCTTCACAATATACAACAATATAAGACAAAGACTCATCTCTGATCTCTTCCTCTAGTCCCACCATATTCCAGAGACACCGAATTGCTTTTGGTTCCAGAAGGCCTGAGTTGCTGTTTTACCTGCCCTTCCCCTGGCTGAATCCTACCAGCTCATAGTCTGAGCTTACGGGAGGCTGTCATATTTCCCCAGGTGGATTCAGGTGCCTCCTCCATGTGCCTTTAACAGGGTGCTTGCCAACGCCTCAAACTCCTGGGCTTAAGCGATCCTCCTGCCTCAGCCTCCCTCCTGCCTCAGCCTCCCGAGTAGCTGGGACTACAGGTGCTCAACATGCCCAGCTAATTTTTTCTATTTTAGTAGAGACGGGCTCTCGCTCTTGCTCAGGCTGGTCTCGAACTCCTGAGCTCAAGAGATCCTCCCGCCTTGGCCTCTCAGAGTGCTAGGGGAACAGGTACGAGCCATCGCGGTCAGCCTGTGTTTTAACCCAGAGTTATGGACAGAAAAAGAAAGGTGATGTACAGAAAATGGAAGTGAGGTACAGAAACAGCTGGCCTGGTGACAGCTTGGTGATTGTCTTATTTGAACAGGGTTTGAACAGTTGGTTGCCTCTGATTGACAGAAACTAGGTGATTGGCCCAAGAGTAGGTTATGCAGCTTGTTTACCATCCAGTTAGGTTACAGTTCACTATGTATGAAGAAACCTTTAGGCCCAACGTCAAATATGTAAAGAAGCAGCTTTAGGCTAAACCTAATTTAACACCAGCAAAGCCTGTCTGTCCAGATTTCTTCTTGACCTCTCGGTGTAGCATTCCTTCCTCCCAGGCATAGGGCATGGCCCACTCTGGAATCATTCAGGGTCTTATGACCTACTATCAGACAAGGTAGATCAGAAAGCAACTTTATGGCCAGCTCCTACACAGAAAGGTGGGGGCTACCGTCCTATTTCTAGTTTCTAGACCCACGTTGGGCTGCCTTAGGGGAGAAAGGAGAGCAGGAGCAGAAGGGCAGGAGAAAGTCAGTGACTCTGCTTCCAAGGCCCTTCGATGTCCTTCAGCTCTAAGTACTCAACATGCCACAGCACCATACTTTGGGGTATCATTTCTGAGCCCTAACAGAGAGACCTTGGAGAGCACCTAATTAGTCCCCAAAGAGGCAGTTCTAAGGTTCGCTCTTTCAGGTGACCCAGCGAGTCTCACTGGTTCCCTGAGCCCTAGTTTCCATAGCTCTGAAATATGAGTGGGATAGGTCAGTGATTCTCAAACTTACTGGTCTCACAATCCTTCATACACAGAAGGTACTGAGAACCCAAAGAGCATTTGTTTATGTTCAATTATGTAAGTATTTATCATTTTAAAAACTAAAACTGATGATCAACACATAAGTGCACATATAAGAATAACATCTATTGGATGTTGGGCAGGGGGGAGGAGGGAGGAGGGGACGGGTATATGCATACACAAAGAGTGCAATGCGCACCACCCGAAGAATGGACATATTTGAAACTCGGACTTGGGGGGGAGGGGGGGGCAAGGGCAACATACGTAACCTAAACATCTGTACCCCCATAATATGCTGAAATAAAAAAAAAAAACTAAAACTGAGACACTTTTGAATAACAATTTCCCAAAACAAAAAGCAGTTCAGTAAGATAAGTAGTATTGCTTGACAATTTTGCAAATCTCTTTAATGCCTGGCTTAAGACAGCTGGATTGGCCTGTCTGCCCTCCATTTAGTCTGGTCCATCCCAGGTCATGTAGCCTCTACAAAACTGGAAGGGGTTCAATGCCATGATCTTCAAGCCTGGATCAAAAGACTCAAGTCCTGGCCAGGCGCGTGGCTCATGCCTGTGATCCTAGCACTTTGGGAGGCCGGGGTGGGAGGATTGCTTGAGGTCAGCCTGAGCAACGTCCCAAGATCCCATCTCTACAAAAAATAGAAAAATTAGCCAGGTGTGTCGGTGCGCCCTTATAGTCCCAGCTACTCCGGAGGCTGAGGCAGGAGGAGCGCTTGAGACCAGGAATTGGAGGTTGTGAGCTATGATCACGCCAGTGCAATCCACGCGGGGCAGAGAGAGACCCTCAGGAAAAAAAAAAAAAAAGACTAAGACTGAAGTCCTAGCCCCATCACACTCCAACAAATAAATTTACTGCCTACTCTCTCTGCGCCTCAGTTCCCTCACCTGCAAAAGGGGTACACATTTCCCACAGGGTCGTGTGAGGATCAGCATTTCCTGGTCCCCATCCCATGTGCACACGTGGCAGGAGGAACAAACCTGGTCTCCTCCCCGGAGTTTAGGGACACGACGCATACTCCCCACAGTGCACGGCAGTGGTGGGAGGAAAGAGCGATGGACACTCTTGCAAAAGGCATCCAAGTGCCCCGTAAAGTGTAAAATGTAAAGTGCGGTCCAACGTGAGTTACCACCGTTACAGCTGCGCCAAGCGAACGGCTTGCAGGACCGAGGTGCTTCCGCGGCAATGGCGCAGTTCCCTCGATCTCCTCCTTCGCATGGAGCCGCGGCGTAGAGCTCTGCGCCGGCGGGGTGACGAGAACCAGGTGATAAGCCCCTCCTTCCGCGTTCCCGCAGCAGAGCTCCGGGCCTGCTTAGGGGCGGTGTCATCGATGTGTTCGGCGCTCTACTGATCCTGCCCCGGGAGTGGGCGGGCCCGTTCGCTCTCAGGTGGTCTAACAAGCGCCAGACAGAACCAATAGCGTGGCTGCATAGTTCAGCCCCTTTATTCCGATTGGCTGGCTCCAGAAAGCCGGACAATGAGCGGCCGCAGCCTTTGGAAGCGAGCTGCAGCCTGCCTTTGCCTCACTCGCCCGCGAACCGTGATCTGTCCGCTCTTTGGCTCTCGGGTTCTGCTCTGTCCGCCGCTGCCGCCATGGCCCAGTGAGTGACTTGCCCACGGGCAGCCGAGCTTGGCCTCAGCCTGCGGGGAACTTTTCTGGGGTCGGAATCTGCCTAGTTCTCTCCTCCGCCCTGGGGGTCGCCTGAGCCCGGCCTCGTGGGACCCCGGACCCCGCACCTCCAGGGTCTCAGGCTCCGGAACCCCGGAGTCCGAGCCAGCCCCGCAGCCACCCCTTCCCCGCGGACCGAGCCCCCGCCCTCTTGGCGGCGTAGGCCCGGGGCGGAACCCCTTCCCAAGAGGGCCGGGGAAGGGGCCGCGGACAGGCCTCGCCGGGGTGGCCTGGACCGGGATCCAGAGGGGACGACCCTCTCTGAGGACACCTGTAGTAAAAATGATAAAAATGACAGCCAGGGACACTGGGGCGCGACGGAGCGTTCGTGGGTGAGCCCCCAGGGCATGTCGGCTTGATTGCCGCAGGACCCGAGGTTCCGCGGAGGGACGGAGTGGGGGCCGGCCTCTGGCACTTGCACGGAATGTGCATGGAACGTGCATGCCGGGCTCCCAAGGCGTGAGCCGGCAGCGGCGCAGGAAAACTCAACAAGTTACCAGTCACACCAAAGGCTGCAAAGTTTCGGGTCTCTGAGTTGGAGCTGGTACTGACACGTTCTTCTTTGTTCTGTTTCCGGCCTTTCAGAGCTGACATCGCGCTGATTGGACTGGCTGTCATGGGCCAGAACTTAATTTTGAACATGAATGACCACGGCTTTGTGGTAAGTGGTGGGGACACATTATCTTATCTGTGCTTCTTGGTGTGCTTTTAGCCGAATGCCCGTGATTGCTCTGTGATTTCACAGACAGATCCCGTGTGATCTGGAACATGCTTCTCTTTAAATGCTCTCTGTTGCTGCTCGTGACATTTTTCTGGGAGAAGCCCACTTAGCCGTGGCTGTGGGAGGGCTGATCTTGCAGTTCTCCGAGGAGGAGTCCTGCCGAAGGTGTCTACGCGCTCTGTAACGTGTGCAGCCTGAAGAAGCGGATCAGTATCTTAAGTAGTGGTGAGTGGAGGAGGAGGAGAAGTCCTGCTGGGTGTGTAGAGCTCTAACTTCATTGCCTAATGCGATCTGGGGAGGCTGAAAATGTGTCTTCTAAATACTAAAGTGGCTGAGATGCCAGCATTATCAGTGACAAAAGACAAAGTCCAGTGTTGAACTGGCCGGTTCCTAGATTTGATTCGGAGCCCTAACCAGTTCCTTCACCTCAGTTCTCTGCCGTTTCATCCTCCTGAGGTAACTTTACAGCGATCAACCAGCGTTTGCCCAAGGGAAAGGCAGGTCTGACCTCCCCAGGACCTTGGGCTGAATAGAAATTTCATTGTTGCTTGGTCCACAGTCTGAAGGTCCTGTGTATCCTAGATCTCCTAATCAGGACTTTTATCCTTCTAGGTCTGTGCCTTTAACAGGACGGTCTCCAAAGTCGATGATTTCTTGGCCAATGAGGCAAAAGGAACCAAAGTGGTCGGTGCTCAGTCCTTGAAGGAGATGGTCTCCAAGCTGAAGAAGCCCCGGCGCATCATCCTCCTCGTGAAGGCCGGTCAGGCTGTCGACGATTTCATCGAGAAACTGGTGAGGCCCGCTCTGCCCTCAAATGCTGCCAGCACAGCAGAGCTTTGTTTTTTTTGTTTTATTTTGTTTTTTTTATCTTTCCTTTAGCTATTTTACTTCACTTTACTACAGGGATTTTTTTTTTTCAATTTCTTGATATGAACCGCTCAGTTCTGACAAAATGGTTACTTAAATGTTTCAGTGTTGCTTAACTTGATTGGCGCTAATTAAGTAACAGTATATCTTTGGGTGGTAATAATTCTGAGGATACAAAGAGACAGTTCAATAAAAATTCATTAACAAGAAGAATCAAAACAGGCAGGGCATGGTGGCCTGTGCTTGTAATCCCAGCACTTTGGGAAGCTGAGGCTGGAGAATCACTTGAACCCAGGAATTCAAGGTTACAGTGAACTATGATTGGGCCACAGCACTCCAGCCCAGGCATAGAGTGAGACCTTGTCTCAAAAAAAAAAAAAAGAACAATAGTAATCTTATTGGCCCTCTGTCTTTGATATTCAATAAGATCTTACAGTATTGTGTTGTGAGTGTTTAGTACTATTCACTAATATATCTTAGTGTCCAAATTTAGAAATAGATTTCATTGTTTTCAGTATTCCTATAAAACTATTCTTAAATAATTGTATAACTTAATATTGATAACAGATCTCCTTTGGGATTCTCAGGGACTAGGTTCATATTTTTGTACCAAACAAATTCTTGGCTTTAGCAAGTATATCTTTTTTTTTAAAACAGAGTCTCGCTCTGTTGCCCGGGGAATAGTACAGTGACATCATTATAGATCACTGCAACCTCAACTCCTGAGCTGAAGCAGTCCTCCTGCCTCAGCCTCCTGAGTAGCTGGGACTATAGGAGTGGGCCATGATGCCCAGCTAATTTTTCTATTTTTAGTAGAGACAGATCTCGCTCTTGCTCAGGCTGGTCTCAAACTCCTGAACTCAAGCAATCCTCCCACCTCTGCCTCCCAGACTGCTAGGATTACAGGCATGAGCCATATATCTTTTTTGAAAGAAAAAATATGGGCCAGGTACGGTGGCTCCTGCTTATAATAATCCCAGCTCTTTGCTTGAGGCCAGAAGTTTGAAACCAGCATGGGAAACATAGCAAGACCCTGTCTCTACAAAGAATAACAAATGTAGCCATGTGTCGGGGTGTGTGCCTGTAGTCCAGCTACTGGGGAGGCTGAGGTGGAAGGATGGCTTCTCCTTGAGCCCAGGGATTCTCCAACCTGAGTGACAGAGTGAGACCCTGTCTCTTAAAAATTTAAAAAAAAAAAAAATGCATATGAATGAAGGGGAACCAGCGGAAATAATTTATGTATATACTCAAAAATAATTCTACAGTAACAGCTCTGAAAAAACCAAGGTACTCCCATTTGGAAGAAATATTGTGTTGTAAGAAACGCAGCAACGGCCAACAAGGGAAGGGGTTGAACATTCCTGTTCTAGAGGAGCAGTGTTAACAGTGGGGTTGTTTTCACAGGGAGAATTTGTAACCAGTATGCTACTGTTTTTTAAATAAATGACCTAGAAAGGATGGATGTTGTGATAAAAAGAGGACATACTAACCATTTTGTGTAGTGAGATGCCAAATCGCCTGTAATCAGTTTCAGACAGAGTGGGCTAAAAATGGTGGACTGTTCTTTCATATAGGAGAATATTAAGTAATGTTACTGGAGCCTTGACGGGAGAAGATAGAGTCAGCCCTGCCTGGTACACTGTGGCAAATACCCTTGTTCAAGACTCAGTCTGTTCCTGAGTCTCCAGCCTTGGTGCTCAAATCATTCATTCATACACTAAACTATCTGATACGTAGTCACTCTTCCCCTACTCTGTTGTAGACACGGAGATTTTATAGGAGGTGTTTTAATCTTTTGGAGCTAGTCTTAGCCCTAGTGTTTGGGAATATAAATCAGGCAGGTGGTACACATTAAAAATAAATTTTCCAACTAGGTTTTGTTCATTGTAGAATCTTAGAGTGGTTAAAGAGAATTATCTCAGTTGTGGAGGTTTCTGACTGGTTTTGGTAGCTTTTAAATAAGGTCTAGCTCTAGCCACAGAGAGAATTTTTGAAGGTCAGGTAATCAGTGCTTTTAGACTATTTATTTGGGATAAATTCTTACTTGTTTCAATTGACCAAGATATGTTTTATTTTTGCCTTTGGTCTACCTAATGCTAGTGTCTGGTTACAGGTACCATTGTTGGACACTGGTGACATCATCATTGATGGAGGAAATTCTGAATATAGGGATACCACAGTAAGTGTTCTTCTGTCCAAATTCTTCCAGGTTCTGAGAACATTCTAGAAAAAAGTATCAGCATTGCACATGTGACAATAGGGTGAACTGTCCTTCAGGGATGCTGGCTCTTTGGGATTGGTACTGGTGTGGTAGTTCTCAGCCTTTTTTTCTGCTGAGACGCACTTGATGGATGAAGTTCTCCGTCACACATGGAGCTCAAGAGGATGGCTGCTGCTTAGACACGGCAGGCTGAGCATTCATGCTTAACTCCCCTTCCCTCACCCTCCCAACTAATCCGTGATATGTCAGTGTATAACGTGTCTGAGGACCACTGCTCCAATGGTCTCCAATGCTGGAGACATCCCTGTGTGCTCTGCAGTGCTGAATGGCAGTGAATCATACTTGTGTTAAACTAACTCTTAATTGAGTCTGTGGTATGAGGTCTTTTCCAGTGAAATGGGAATGCATGCTTGGCTTCATTATTTCCCTTTTGGGGACACGATAGGTATCTTGAATGTCCATGCTTTTTTTTTTTCTTTTTTTAACTTTCACAGTGAGGGGATTAACTTTCTTGAATGATCAGTTACTGATCAGTTATTCCTAGATCCTCAGGTCATTTCCTGCCAAATGTGGGCTGTCCATACCTGTCTTATATCTCCTCTCATTCATTGGGAAAAACTTATCTTTTAGAAACATCATGAAATTATTTTTGTCTTCTTTAGAGACGGTGTCGAGACCTCAAGGCCAAGGGAATCTTATTCGTGGGGAGTGGAGTTAGTGGTGGAGAGGACGGGGCCCGATACGGCCCATCGCTCATGCCAGGAGGAAACAAAGAAGCCTGGTGAGTGCCCCCAGCACCATGTTCCTTTCAGCACAGAGGAGCCTGCACTTTAAGAGCGGATGAGCCGGGAGCCGTTCTGCCACCCTGATCCCCACCCCCGTGGTGCTCTGAGTGTTGGAGTTAACAGATGCTGCAAATACTTCTTATGTCTAGACACCCTGTTGCTTTGACATAATATATGTGCACACTCCTCTTTTGCTTTTTTTTCCTTCTGTTATTTCCTTTAAGACTGATACTGGAAGTTTTAAATAGGCTTTAGTAAAGCAGTTCAGATGATATCCCGTGCACTATCTGGACTTAGGAATAAGGGTTGCCTCTTTTAGCTGATGCGTGGTCCTAAAATAACTTTCCTTAATAATTGTGAGTAATGGAAAAATCTGACTGGGCCTGGGAACGAGGTGGAAGACTTACTTAACTTGGGAACAAACAAACTTTGCACTGTGGACCATGCTGTGTGTAGGAGGAGCTGGCACAGCAGAGGAAGTGCTTCGGTGCTGTGGAATCAGGGATGCGAGGCACATGGGGCGGCGTGAGCAGGAGGGAGAGTCAAAGTGGGAAGGTGCAAGTAATAAATTGTACGTGACTCAGGCCGCGGGGGACGCTGCTGCTGAGACTGCAGGACAGAGAAAGCCAGGTAGGAGAAGATAGAGGTGGCGCAGAAGAGAAAGAAATAGCAAAGGAAGGATCCTTTTGAGGGAGACGTGGAAAGATAACATTCTTTTCTGAATGGGTTTGATTTCTAAATATTCTAGAATTACATTAGGCATTAAGAGTACGGGAGTGATCAGACCTAACCCTAAAAGGTGAAGTGTTTATTTGGAAAGATTGTTCTTTAAATTACCTCTCTGATGAGTAAGTCTGGGCATTCTCTTCAGTACGTCAGAGTGTAGAACTACAGAGGCCTTCCTGTTTCTCAGAAGTTTAAAAAGCTGGGTGAGCTGGCCAGTGCCTGTAGATCCAGCCTGCTCAGGAGGCTGAGGCAGGAGGATCACTTGAGCCTAGGAGTTTGAGACCAGCCTGGACAACACAGTGAGACCCATCTCTACAAAAAAAGTTTAGAAATACTTATCTTGGGTCCCGTGTCCAATAGGCTGTTAGAAATGCAGACACTACACAGGAAGGTATTTGACAGACAGAGGTGTTCCAATTGCTCCTCAGTTCAGTTTTCTCACTCTGGTCTGGCAAAAGTATGAATGGCACTTTTACCTGAAAGATACTAAAAGTTCAGTGAAGTTCTAAGACTTAAGGTATGGCTGCCTTAATCCCCAATTCTAGGCATTAACTTTGCAATCCTGTCAGATTTTGGGTCTGTACAGAAAAATTTTTGTGGAGAAGCCTTTGTTAGTCAATAGTGAGTGGAACATGAGGAAAAAGCCTCATGGGTTGATATATCTTGATAGGGCCGTTCTGGAAGGAATGAACGGCTGCTTTTCTCTGACCAGCAACGTATCTCTTAGAAATATTTCCGGTTCCGTGTGTCTTACTCTTGATCCCGATGTCCAGAATCAGGCTGTCCCTGGTAACACGCGTCCCGACTAATGAAAGAGGGTCTCTGAGGGAACTTCCGTGCTGCTTGCTGTGTGGAGTCACAGCCGCTTCTGACGCTGCAATAGAAGTTTCTTCTGGTGCTTTGACGATGCTTCTGCTCAGCCTTTTTGTCCGTAGTCTCGGATCACATGGTGCACGGCCTCGCTGGGAGGGCCCACCAGGGTGTGGGGGAGCCGGACAGTGAGCTCGGGACTGGAGCTCCCTTGAGAACTTAGCACATTCTTTGTTTTTTTGTGGGCACTTCCGCCTCCCATTTGAAAGACAAATATGAGGGCATGGTGTCCTTGAGTATTTCACTGAGACCCGAGCCCATCTCTCCTCACCGCACTGCGCTCTTCCTTTCCGCAGGCCCCACATCCAGGCCATCTTCCAGGGCATCGCTGCGAAAGTAGGAACTGGAGAACCCTGCTGCGACTGGGCAAGTTCTGGGCTACTCTCTAAAGCCGGGTGGCAACAGGGGCGCGTCTGCGTGGCGAAGGTCACAGAGCAGAGGCCACCGTGGTCCCAGGGGTTAGCTTCGTGACATAAGCTTCTCAGTCTTTAAGTTGCTAGCGTAGCTGGCGCCTAAAGTGCACGCCTGTTTTATGTGTCTTTGTTCCTTAACTGACGTTCAGAGCCATGAGGTTGACATTAAAAGCAGCCTCTTCAGCGCATCGAAAAGACGGATTCCTTAGAAAGGAACAGCAGGGATGAGGTGGAGGAAGATGTTAGTGAGCCATGTTACTGTATGGCAAAGAAAGGATGTCAGAATCAAACGTGGGGTTTGCTTGGCTGGGTGAAAGGAAGAGGACTGAATGGGCCGGGGCTGTGTCACGTGCGGAGGAAGCCCTTTCCCACGGTGTGGGATCCAGACACTGTGCCGGAACAGAGTGAGCTGCCGACGTTCACCCGCACTGAACGTGGAGGCCTGGCCTAATTCATGGATACCTCCCCTGGTTACAGTTTGTGTTGCCATTAGGGTAAATTCTATCCCATAGTGTAGTTTAGCCCATAAGGTGGATGGAAAACACCGCTAGGTCTGGGAGACCTGAGTTGTAATTCTGGCTCTGCGTTAACCAACTGCGTGACACATTAGGCTGTCACTTCCCTACCCGGACTTCAGTGTCCTTATCAGTAAAATATGGGGGTTGGACTAGATGATCTCCAAGCTCCCTTTAGTTCCTAATCCCCTTTATTTATTTATTTTTTTTGAGACAGAGTCTTGCTCTGTTGCCCAGGCTAGAGTGCCGTGGCGTCAGCCTAGCTCACAGCAACCTCAAACTCCTGGGCTCAAGCGATCCTTCTGCCTCAGCCTCCCGAGTAGCTGGGACTACAGGCATGCGCCACCATGCCCAGCTAATTTTTTCTATGTATTTTTAGTTGTCCGATTAATTTCTTTCTATTTTTAGTAGAGACGGGGTCTCGCTCTTGCTCAGGCTGGTCTCGAACTCCTGACCTTGAGTGATCCACCCGCCTCGGCCTCCCAGAGTGCTAGGATTACAGGCGTGAGCCACTGCGCCCGGCTCCTAATCCCCTTAAGTTTATATCAGCAATATTATGCTAATTTTATTATTTTAGTTTTATTTTATGTGAGATAACTGGTGGGGATGAGACAAGGACTTGGGCATGTGAGGGATGAGGGAAGCCCTCCGTCCCAGGCCTGCCAGTGGCTGGTGGCTTTGGCTGCGGCAGCTGACGTGTCCTTACTTTTTCACCCGTGCTCAGCCAGTGAGTTCTGTAGAATCTGCGCAGGGCAGAGAGAGGCTGGCGCTGTGGTTGATGTGAAAGGCTGAGTGATCTTCTCATTAGCAGGAAGGATTGGAAAGGAAGGGACTTTTGTTCCTTGACAATAGATTGCTACAGCAAAAGTGCAGTGACAACGACTTCTTTTTGAATATACTTAGGACAAAGTCATGAAGAAAAAAACAGTACTTGTCCTTATGTATCTTGAACAAGTCAGAGGTTAACTTACCATTGCCTGAAGGCTTAGTCTCAGGTCATAGAAAAAAAATAGTGTAGACACTAGAAGCAGGAGCGGGTAGTTCAGTGTTGAAGTAACAGGAAGGATGAGGTGAAGCTAGATGTCATTAGCCACATTACTGCACAGCCAGAGTGTCACAATGAGAAGGCGTAGGTTGGCCACATCGACAAAGGAGTCCCTGATGTGAACATCCATGGTGTCAATCTAAGCAGTGACTGCCAGGAGCGGCTGCCCAGGCCAGGCAGACCTGGTCCACGGGGCAAGTGTGTCCCTGTCATGGAGATGGGGGCAGGTGACTGAGAGCTTGGTGCCATTAACTGTTTGACTCTTGTCACTTCCTTTGTTCTGATTCCTGGCCCGCTAAACAGTTTCCAGGTAATTTGGCTTCCCAGGTTCCTTGTTTATAGGGACAGAATGTGTTAATCAGACTAGTACTTGTAACCACTAAGATCCATAGTTAAATTTCTCATAAATTCATAAACTGGTATTTTGATTTTATATATCTTGCCAGCTTATTATAAATAAATATCTGTCAATGATGGGAACTTGGAAGGAGACATGTTTGGGCTTATGCCGTTGAGGGCCAGACCTCGGATCCAAGGTCATTTCACCTCTCAGTGGCCATTAGAAACAGCTACAGTACCTTTATATTTTGAAAAAAAATACAAGGGATTTGATGAGTCAATATATTTTATCCTCTAATTATTAGAAAAGTGGTAACTTTGGGAAAAAGAGGACTTTTTTCTTATGCGTGAAGGCTGGGGAGTAGAGAGTTGCTTTTAATAATAAGGAGAAAGAGGCCAGC